TGGTCCTTGGTCACATTGGTTCTATCAAAGGTGGGCTATCAGTGGCCTGGTCTAACGGTCGTAGACCGAGGTATCTGTGGGAATCGGACCGAGCTAAAAGATAGCTCAATAGGAGGTCATTCCAAAGACTAGGTTGACCAAATTGACTTAATTAGCACCGAGCTGTGTAAGCACGGTTATATCTTGTGCTAGCCAGAATAAGAGTTGCAACTATCTCACTTAGGTAAGCAATGAGTAAGGAGTTATCAGAATATGCATTATCCTTGGAAATGTAATTCTTAGGAGGACTTAACTAAGGAGAGTAGAGTCCTACTAGGATTATGCAAACCATCTCACTTGATTGGTAGTGAGTAGGGTGTGTGATTCTGTCACGACCCAAACCCGGCCCTATGGGTTTAGCACCGTAACCGGCCAGTAATTCGAGATTACCGAAGGCCTGCCTAACAGTAATCCAGTAAAACAGAGTACTTTTGTAATAAAAATAGAAGCTCCAATGATTATTTTGGTACCCTTATTTAAATATTACTTTCGCTTGCGTTATTTGATTTGTTTATGAATTGGCCGAAGGTAACTTCAGTTACTGGCCATCACGATACTTAACCCTTGGGTACAGGGAGCGGGTCGTGACACGCCACATGCTAAATGAGGGCACGCCACATGCTAGATTAGTGGAAGGACGTGCTGAGCAACTGACAATACTTATTGAAACCGAACAAGTTTTCTAGTTCGACAGAGGCGGGCGTTCTTAGCTCAGCTGGAGGAAAATAATCCCAATCATGCTACGCAGATGGAATTAAGGAGCAATTGAGAGGGTAATTTATGCATAAATTGGGCCGAGCTAAGTAAGTCCGTTGGAATGGACCGAGATAGATATAGTCTTGGGCCGAGCCACGGACTGAGGTAATTATCTCGGTAGCCTTGGTCCTTGGTCACATTGGTTCTATCAAAGGTGGGCTATCAGTGGCCTGGTCTAACGGTCGTAGACCGAGGTATCTGTGGGAATCGGACCGAGCTAAAAGATAGCTCAATAGGAGGTCATTCCAAAGACTAGGTTGACCAAATTGACTTAATTAGCACCGAGCTGTGTAAGCACGGTTATGTCTTGTGCTAGCCAGAATAAGAGTTGCAACTATCTCACTTAGGTAAGCAATGAGTAAGGAGTTATCAGAATATGCATTATCCTTGAAAATGTAATTCTTAGGAGGACTTAACTAAGGAGAGTAGAGTCCTACTAGGATTGTGCAAACCATCTCACTTGATTGGTAGTGAGTAGGGTGTGTGATTCCTAGAAGGACTCTTATAAAGAGAGTTGGAATCCCACTAAGATTGGACTAGGCAGAATCTATAAAAGCTCATAGCATGACCTATTTACAGGTATCTCAATTCTTACTCTAGAATACACAAAACTTTTGTGTCTATTGTCTATTTGCTGACTTAGGCATCGGAGAGATTTCCGGCACACACCCGCCGGTTAGCTCACATTTATGTTTTCAGGTGGCAAAGCGACGATATTTGGAGGAGTGCAAACTTGATCAACAGGATCATACGAGAAGATTATTTCGTACTCGTACAAGTAATAACACATCACAATATATATAAAATAATATGATCATCATAATATTACTGTTTCACCAACACAATCACACAAGAAAACCTACACAAGCTCCTCTCATCTCTCTTAACTCTTAGATGACTTTGCACATTAAAAGGGAACTTACAATGAAACAATTTTAGATGATTTTTTAGATTAAAAAGGCGTCCAGTTCCATTGATATATGATCAAACTAAAATGTGAAACTAAAATTTTTCGTTCATATTTTGTTAAAGTTGAATATTTTTCATTTTTCATGAAGAAAACTTAGGTTGCATTTTGTTGAAATTATATAAGTATCATTATTCAGTGAAAATCTCTTTCTCCTACTTTGGCTCTCCTCAAATCAACATTTTTCATTCCAGCCCTACTTACAGGTTAATTGTACCAAAATTTAGGTTTCCAACTTTGAAGTCAAAATTTAGGTTTCTCTTCTTGGTGGAAGTTTTGCTAGTTTTCTCTTTTTCCCTTCCCGTCAAAGCTGGATCTGCCATGTCCCTCCTCCTTCACCTCATGCTGTAGTCGTCACCACCATACCACCGCCAAATCTGCCACGGATCTGGCCCACCTCCACAAATCTGGTTGTTTCTAGGACTGAGGTTGAGTTTTTTTTTTTTCTTTTTTTTCCTATTTTTTCTTATTTATTTTGGTTTTGGTTGTGTTTCTTAAAGTCCATCGCTGATGTGGCTGTAGCTTACCTACTCTGTGGCTGTAACCTATGATTTATCTTAAACATGCTCTATTACCGAACTCTTATAATCGATTTCTGCTTTACAATACGAGCACATGCACGAGCTGTGCGTCTAGATTTTTTCATAGCTTTACTAATTTGTGCTTCTTGTTTTGATTTTTACTTTATTTGGTGTAAATTCTACATGTTGGATGGGCTCTTCTATACGTGCCGTTTGACTTATCTCGATGGAAATTTCTTCTGATAATATAAAAAAATAAAAAAACTTTGAAGTCAATATATATATATATATATGGTACACACCTTTAAAAAAATATGCATCATATACAACTTATGACATTTGTAAGTTTAATTATCACAAATATAATAACTCAATCATATATGGGAGTCATAACTTTAACAACAACAACAAAAAAAATTATAATCAAACACCACATAAGGTATAACCATAGAACTCTTAACTCATAACTAAAATAATAGCATAATCAATATCACAATGAGTCATAACTAGGGATGCATATATAGTATTTCTCATAAAAAAAAAAATTCAAATAAACCATGTAATTTTACACATATATATTGCATTACTAGTGTATTTTTTTCTTTAAAAAAAATTAAAAATAAAAAACCTAACTCAACAATTTAACCTATTGTTCTCCATCAATTTGTGGAGAGAGAAAAAAACTCATATTAAAAAAATAAACGAGATAGGTGATTGGCCTCACAAACTTCAATAAAACAATCAAGTTCAAATTTAAACTTATGAGAAGTCAAATTTTGAACAATATTGTTTAATAACCATTTCCTCTTCGATGTTTTTTGGGACAATAACATATCAATGGAGCAGTAAAAAAATTATTTACAAAAAAGTGAAAAAATTATAATTATAATTATTTATATTTATAAATTTTCTAATTTTTTATAAATACTTTTCACTAATACTATGTCAGTGTAATTTCCCAAGGACAATTTCAATGTGTGCCTTGCATATGGAATGCAAGGCATATGAACTTCTCTTATATATTGTTTCCGTTTTAGTTATATATTTTTGTGTTGATTGTTATACATTGTTGACCTGATAAATAGGTTAATTTATAGGTAAATCATATCAAAATAATAGATTTTATTATATAATCAAAACAATACATATGTGATCTCACAAAGGTCTTGTTTGAGAAGTTAATTATTTTAATACGCTATTTTAATTTTTGGGAAGATTGTTGAATTTTTTTCTAGTTTAATGTAATATTTGTAAAAGAAAAAAAGAAAAAAGAAAAAGTTAAATGATTATGGATTTAATGTGACATTTTGTCTTATTGATTATTTTAGTCTATTTTGTTTTTTTGTGAATTATAGCCTAAAAAAAGCCAAAAATCCACTTCGCAAACAAGGCCAAAAATGCGTAACTAACACAAATTCAAGTAAATTATCTAATAAAAATTTTGAAAAATATAATATCATATAAATTTTCATAAACTCACATAAGTGATCTCAAAAAGACGAGTAAGTTAACACAAATTTCCTGCAAATTATCTCATAAAATTTTTAAAAAATATAAAATCATGTAAGTTTTTACCAAATCACGTGAGTGATCTCTCAAAAACACTTAACTAACACAAATTCAAGTAAGTTCTTGATAAAAGTTTTGAAAAACACAAAATCACGTAAGTTTTTACAAACGTTCTTGATAAAAGTTTTGAAAAACACAAAATCACGTAAGTTTTTACAAACTCACATAAGTAATCTCACAAAAACGAGCAACTAACACAAATTCGAGTAAGCTCTTCATAAAAGTTTTGAATAATATAAAATCATGTAAGTTTTCACAAACTCAAGCAATTGATCTCAAAAAAATGCGTAAATTAACACAAATTTCTCGTAAGATATCTCATAAAATTTTTGAAAAATACAAAATCACGTAAATTTTCATGAACTCCCGTAAGCGACCTCACAAAAACACATAACTAACACAAATTTGAGTAAGTTCTTCATATAAGTTTTGAAAAATACAAAATTACGTAAGTTTTCTCAAATTCATGTAAATGGTCTCATAAAAACGTGTAAGTTAACACAAATTTTTTGTAAGTTATCTCAAAATTTTTGAAAAACACAAAATGACATAAATTTTCACATACTTACGTAAGTGATCTCACAAAAATCACTATAACAAATTACACTTTTGGCAACTAAATTTTTAGTCGCCAAAAGTCATTTTTTTAGTCCCCAAGATTCTTATAGACTAAATTTTTTGGTTACCAGCTTTGTCACAAAATGATTGTCGGAAAAGGTATTGACGACTAAATTTTTTAGTCGCCGAAAGTCACAAATCGGCGACTAAAAATTTAGTCACCCAAAAAAAAATATTTAGTTGCCAAAAAGAAAATATTTTCCATCTTCAATTTTTTAGTCGCTAAAAACATGGCACTCCTTTTTTGCTACCAATTTTTTAGTCGCCAAAAACTTCTTTTTTTTTAGCTACTAACTGTTTAGTGGCCAATAAGGTCCTTTTTATTTTTTGGCTACTAAATGTTTAGTAACCAAAAGCTCAAGCTCTATTTATTAATTTTTTTAAAATGCACAAATTGAATGTTTTTCATTAATTTCTAAATTATATGCATTTCATTATCAATGCAACCTGCAACTTGTGCGTATACAGAATAATACATCTATCAATTATAATCTAAATTCATTATCAATAATACCCATTTCATTATCAACTATTCAAAAACTTTAACTTGTAATATCATATTCCAAATATCATATAAATCCATACAAAACAAGTATAATCCATCTAAATTAAATATTACATACAAAAACAATAGATTTTTTTTCAAAACAGAGAATTGTTCCAAAATAAATGTCTTCCATATATAGAACAAATACTCTTCGTACACATCCACAACAGCCCACACAAAAGCAATCTGTAAAAAAAAAAAAAAAAAAATTAACCATTAGCACTTATTTAATAAAATTGACATTTCAAATTATAACAATTATAAAATTAATGATTTAGATATATTAATGTACTAGAAAATTCTACAAAAAAATGTAGGCAAAGAAAATTCAGAAGTGTACACATAAACTAACAGGAGGCAACCATTAGGATAACAAGAAAAAAGCAAAATGAAGATAACAATACTACCCACAAAAGCATTAACTAGAAAATGACCCAGGATTTTTAATGGCCCTTTTGCACTAACTAAAGCATTTGAAGTTAAAATTCAAAAATCTAAAATGAGGCTATTACGGGGACAAAACAAAAGGGGCCATTTTCAAGTATAATGACATGAATCTGTTCTAGGATTATATGTTATGGACTAAGAGGTGATCACACCATAATAATGGTGGACCCTTTCATAGAAGATCCTACCCCATGAAATGGTGAGAAACCTTCCCGCAGGGGAAGTTGTCCAGGAGAATTTGAATTTGATTCAAATTCTAAGAGATACAACTCTCTGTGTAAGGTTGTGTCCATTGATCTTACAAACCTTTGTCCAAGAGTTGTGTCCATTCTGAAGAATCACTAAAGAGCCTATATATATGTATTGAAAGAACCTGTACAATCCATAAAGTGAGAGAGAGAGGCGTTTGTTCAATTTCTTTTGTTTTATAATCATTCAAGATGGTTGCTATATTTCCCTATTGACTCCATTCAAAAAATGACAGATTCCTCATTTTGAATTCCTGTCATGCATTGAGCCATTCGCTGTCCATAGTCAAAATGACCCCAAGAAAAAGCAAAATGAAGATAACAGCACTACCCACAAAAGCTTCAAAAGCTTCAATCTGTCTAGCTAGAATATTAATGTTCTCTTGCCACCTTAAAATACAGCCTCTTACCTAACTTCATACTCACTTCCCATCTCACCCCACTCAATAAAAACCCAATTCCCTTGCACCACAACCCGTAAAACTCTTATTTTTTCTCGCTTCAAAGCAGTAATTCACCCATACTGCATACATACTAAGAGTGTTCCTGTAGTTGCTAATTCTTTTTTCAATGTAAAACACACTACCATCATACTCTTCCTTGAGACATTTTATCAAACTGGTAGTAGGCAAGAAAATAAATCCCCTTTCCCTGTCTCTGTTTCTGCACAAAAATGATTTCTATTGTTCTAATTTGAAGAAGTTGTGCACACTACCATCATACTCTTCCTTGAGACATTTTATCAAACTGGTAGTAGGCAAGAAAATAAATCCCCTTTCCCTGTCTCTGTTTCTGCACAAAAATGATTTCTATTGTTCTAATTTGAAGAAGTTGAAACCAAACATCAAACTATTGTTCTAATTTGACAAATCACGTCATATTGCAATAACAAAACAACCAATTTTGAACAAAACCTACATATAATCATACACATAAAAAGAAATTATATAGAAAATCAGATAAGCTCTTGAAATCAGATAGGATCAATATTCCAACATATCTCGGTTATTCAACCCGAGGAAAACCACCAATTACGTACAAACCCAAATTGATCCAAAACCCTTCTTAATCCTCACCACACCCAAATTCGCCTCTGAAATGGGCAAAATCCGCCCCAAAATCCCCAGAAAAGTTTGTCAAACTAGAAATGACCTAAAAAATTCGATATTTTAATATAATCAGAGAACGAAATAAAAACCCAAATTGTTCTCATCAAATCTTCAACATATAAAGCAAACGCAATTAAGGAATTTAAGATAATTATGATAAAACATAAAGGTTATTATGGATATGTTTCCGGCAGTTATGTAACCGATGAAAGGAAATGAGAAAATCGCCACTATATATTTTCTCGACTGTGAAACGGAAAAAGAAAGTGAAAGAAACAGAAGAAAGAGAGTAATGATACAGGGGACTTACTACGGATTGGATAGGAAGAAAGAATGGAGGACCTGATTAGTGCTCCGGTTGCCCGCGACCGCGAGGGGGAGCGGAGGAGACGCGGCTGGTGGAGCGGCAGTGAGAGCGGGAGGGGAGAGGAGCAGCGGAGAGGGACAGGCAGTGGGAGAAAGAGAGAGAAACACTGAAGAGAGAGACAAAGGGCGCTGGTTTGTGTTTTGGAAACCATATGTATATATATATATTACACCATTAGCGACTAAATGTTTTTGGTCGCCAATTGATTTTATAAATCCCCCCAAATATTTTAATTTTTTGGCGACTGAACTATTTTTTTGTCGCTGAAAATATGTTTTTGGCGACCAAAAGATAAACAATATTTTTTTATTTTACATTCGGCGACTAAATAGTTTCAGTAGCCCAAACTCAATATACGGTAACTAAACTATTTTTTTGTCACTGAAAATATGTTTTTGGCGACCAAACTTCTCGTCGCCAAAGATAAAAAATAATTTTTTATTTTACATTGGGCGACTAAATGGTTTTAGTAGTCAAAACTCAACATACGGCGACTAAATTTTTTTTTTGTCCCCAATTTTAGTATTTTTAGCGACTAAATTTTTTTTAGCCGCCAATAATCAATATACCCCGACTAAAAAAATAAGTAGCTAAATATTGTATTTTTTCTAACTAAAAAAAGTTTTAATTGCCAATTCCACAACTTTTGGTAACTAAATTTTTTTAAGTCACCAATTTTGGTCGCCAAAGGTGCATTTTTTTTTTGTAGTGAATGCATAATTAACACAAATTTGAGTAAGCTCTTCATAAAAATTTTGAACAATACAAAATTACGTTAATTTTCACAAATTCACGCAAGTAATGTTATAAAAACAAGTTAACACAAATTTTTCGTAAGTTATCTCATAAAAATTTTAAAAAATACAAAATCACATAAATTTTCATAAACTCACGTAAGTGATCTCACAAAAATACGCAACTAACACAAATTTGAGTAAGTTCATAAAAGTTTTGAAAAACATAAAATCACGTAAGTTTTTACAAACTCACGTAAGTGATCTTACAAAAATATATAAGTTAACCTGTTAAAAAGGTTGCCTTTTCTTGGCTATCAAAAAATTATTGAATGGTCATGACCAATTTATTTTAATCCAATAGTTACGAATATATTGCATATGATGTGCAACCGGAAGGGAGTTACACACCAAACACTACCTAAAAGGAATCTCTATTAAGATGAAAAATATTTTTTGTGCAAAATAGAAAGATAATGCAAAATTAAGAAAAAAAAATGAGATACATATTTTTTTATGTTTATTTTATATATAAAATGATATATATATTTTTAAAATGTTATGGTAAATAGCATTTTCTACAAAAACAGTGGCTATACCTCCTTTAAGTGATTTTACGAAAATGCGTAATTAACACAAATTTGAATAAATTCTTTATAAAAGTTTTGAAAAATATAAAATCACGTAAGTGATTTCATAAAAACACATAAATTAATTTGTTAAAAATATTGCCTTTTTTTAACTATTAAAAAATTGAATGGTCATAATCAATTTATTTTAATCCAATGGCTACAAATATATTGCATATGGTGTGTGACCCTTAAGTGGGTTGCACACCCACCACTACAAGAATTTTCATTTTTAGCGATTAAATTTTTAGTAACTAAAAGTTAATTTTTAGTCGCGGAATGGTTTTTGCGACTAAATTATTTGGTCGCAAAGGCAGTCGCCAAAAAATTGTCGGTAAAGGTAATTAGCGACTAAAATTATTTTAGTCGCCAAATGTATACAATTCCCAACTAAAATTTTAGTTCTTAAAAGTTTTGACATTAAATTAAATTAGACCATTTTCGGCGACCAAACTTTTAGTCGCCTAAAGTCTCACATTTTTAGCTACTAAAATTTTAGTCGGCAAAGAGTTCTTCTTTTGGCTACTAAAACCACATCTTTGGCTACTAAATTTTTAGTCGGCAATGAGTTCCTCTTTTGGCTACCAAATATTTGGTCGCCTAAAGTTTTACATTTTCGGCTACTAAAATTTTAGCCAGCAAAAGTGTTTTTATCCTTTAGTTTTTTGTTTTTAGCTACGAAATATTTTAATCGCCAAATGTTTGATTTTCTTTTGGCTACTAAACTTTTAGCCGCCAATTTTTTTTTTTTTTTGCTACAAAACTTTTAGTCGCCAAATGTCTTTTCCCAATTTCTTTTTAGCTACTAATTATTTAGTCGCCAAAAACATGATATTATGTTTTCTTCACAACATGTCTATATTCAATGCAACCTGTAATACGTATATAAACAAAATAATACATACTATCAATCATTCCACAATCTACATCCATATACCAAAAATAAATAACTTTAAATGTCAAAGTCCATACAAATCAACTATTGTCCAAACTAAAATAATAATTTCATACAAAATATATCACACAAAAATCAAAGCCCTCCCTATATTATGTTTTAGTCGTCAATTCCACAAGTTTTGGCAACTAAATTTTTTTTAGTCACTAAAAGTGCATTTTGTTATAGTTCAAACACAACCTGACAAGCAATCTCTAATGGGATGATAAATTTTTTTGGGTTAATTACCAAAAAAATAAAATAAAATAAAAATCTCAAGGTCCTTTTTCAATTTCGACAAATTAAATCTTAGAGTTTCATTTGTGTTTCAATTTGTCCGCTCTGTCCATCTCCGTTTGTATAAGGTAACAGAAGGGATAAGTGACAAACACGTGAAATCTTAGAGTTTATCTTGTAATTAACCCTTTTTTGTTTTTTGAGATTTTAATTTTTTTTTAAATGATTAATTACACACACACACAAAAAAAAAAAAAAATGCAAGGTTTCACGCATTTTTCACTTTAAACAGACTCTGTTACCTTACACAAACTAAAATGGATGAAGGAGGCAAATTAAAACATGAATGGAACTTCAAAATTTAATTTGTCGAAATTAAAATACTAAGGTTTTAAGTGAAAAGTATGTGAAATTTTGGGATTTTTTTGTAATTAACTCAAATTTTTTTAATATAAAATAGAAAGAGAATGTAAAATGAGAAAGAAAGAAAAAAAGATATATATATTATTTATGCTAAGTTTATTTTATACATAAAATAATATATATTTTTAAAATGTTATGATGAATAACATTTTCCATAAAAACAGTGGGCATAACCCCTAGTTCTGTCTGGCTGGCTGTGGACTGCCTTCTGGAAGTCTTCATCCTGATTTGGCTTTCTCTTTGCACTCCCTTTTTCAATTAATGAATTTTTCTTTGCCGTTAAAAGAATAAAAATAAAAATAAAAAACTCATTTATTAAGGAATCTCATTGACTAGTAAAAAAATTCAAAAGAACTATTAAATCTTTATCGATGGTGGGTTCGAGAAATGTTACATACGTTAACACTTATATTAATCTTATTGATTATAAAAAAAAAATTAATTTACAAATTTTAAATCTTTATCGATGGTGGCTTCTAGAAATGTTACATACGTTAACACTTTTACTAATCTCATTGATTATAAAAATTTTAAATCTTTATTGATGGTGACTTCTATAAATGTTGCATACATTAACACTTTTATTAATGATTTTATTAACACACTAATAAGTCTTGGAACTATCATTTGATGTGAGACTCACATAAAGCATAAGGCACAAAAAGTTCTATTTCAAACTTTATTGAAATGATCTAAATCATTTAATTTGTAAAACTTATCAAATAAGTCATTCATTCAGAAAGTCAAGTTGAACAGTAGCATCGGATCTCATTATTTTTAAAAAGTAGAAAGTTTAATTTTTAAATCACATTTATTGTCCAATTTAAGACCAATGTGATCTGATATGTAGTTTTTGATTCTAATTTACTTAATTTTTTGTATGAATAATATGTTCAACTTATTTCATCAAATGAATGGTTCAAATCATTTTGATGGATCTCGAAATAGGTTCAAATCATTAAACAGATTAAATCATGAACAAACAATCAACACATGAACACCAGATTTTACGTGGAAAACCTATTGGAAAATTTGAATTGCAATTTACTCCAATGGTTGTGTCTCTTGACATGGAAGGGTGTGTCCTTTTGAAGGGTCACAACCTTTCTAAAGAGTCATGGAGGAATCTATAAATTCTATCCCCCTCACTTCAATTTGAGAAATAAAATTGCAATTTTCTTCTTTACTTTGTATTTATTCTTCATATTTTCTGAGTTTAATTTCCTGTAAAGAGAGTACATGCACAGCAAAGTTCGCTAGGCTTGCAATAGTAGTGCTGCTAGTGCAAGATATTGATCGTTGTATCTTAGGAGATAGACGTCCATTGAATCCTAAGCACCGGTGGGAGGACGAATCTGTCTTAAGGAGAGAGTGTCACACACTCGACTCGATCAGGTTTTATCTATTTATGTATTGTAAGCTTTATCACGTTATTATGTCGATTTATTTCAGTTTTGGTTTTGCCCAAACATCGCTTGCATAAATTTAAATTATATTTTCCATATAGTTTAGTATTATTTTTCTAACAATCTTAAGACAAATTCAGATTGGGATTTGGACAGATCTGCAACTGTGCAAATTTGAATCTGTCCGAATTTCAACAAATTAAAACCTGTCTTGACAGAATTTTTTGGATGTTTTTATCAACCCCAATCTACTAAAACATGTCTACAATATATAGACCCGAACAGGTATAAATTTGAAGTGAACAGGTGTAAACTGTTTTTGAACAGATGCAGTTTTAAAACAAATAGATTTGTAGCCAGATTTTTTAATCTGTTCGGTGTAACTACTGGGCAGTTATTAGCACTATTTAAACAGTTTAAAAAGGCAGAATTCGGACTGGAAGAGGCATAAAATATGGACAAAAAAATTTAAATCCAAATTGAATTAAATTTCATTTAGATTTTTGTGGAAAAAATTCAAATAAATTTTGTCCAAAAAAATTAATATTAAAACCGACCCACAACCCACACCCACACCCACACCCGGCACGGCTCGGCCGAACCACGGTAACGGCGCGCGTGTGGTGGTTTGGGCTATGGTTCACTTTGTCCATAACTTCTTCCTTCTACAAACTTGGGGTGCCCCTTGGGACCCAACCCAAGTGTTGTAATCTAGACCTTATATCCATATACAAACTCTCTTAAAGTTTCTATATAGGACTAGCTT